TAAATTATAATATTATATTTAAAAAAACATTTAATAATAATATAAACAAATAAAGTTTTGTGTAAATGTGTGAACATTAGGTACATATTCGGTCACCGGGGCGTTTACCTTATTTATGATCCTATTTCATTAACAACTCTGCATTTTACTAAATGAAAATTATATATTATTTATATGTGTATCATAATGCAAATGTATGGAGGCAGATTCAAAAGATTTAAAGTGTCACCTCAAATGTCGTTTATATTGTAACACCATTTCTATTGTTGTATATACTCGTCGATCGCACATATAATATTCTATCGCGCTCGCTTGTAACGTTTGCCAAGTTCGTCGCATAATCGATTTTCCGTGGAGTTGTTGCAACGCAATGGGTTCAAGTGTTCAATGACAGCGTATAGACTGACACAATCTCCAAATAGCCTGCCTTGCTCTCCCGTTCTCGTTTTCCAACACTTTGCCCGTGCCCCTCTTCTGTCTCTCGCACTCTACCTCGTTGACGAATAATTTTTCATCGAAAAGGCAAAGCAGTTGGTGCCGCAAAGAGGCGGCGAGAAAGGGGAGAACGGTTCAATTTCGTTGGCTTTTCGGATACGTCGACCTAGAAACGACATCCAACAGCGTTTATCCCTAGGATTTTCTCTCTATGCAGTTACTGACAGTTTCTGATCAGACAGAGCACGTTTGGACTTTGGATCGTTCAGAGATGTTCAAGGCTTTTTCTCGTCTTCAGCATTCATAATCTAAAGAAGAATTTCATTCGACATCTAATTCGAAATCGTAAATTTGACGATGCTGCGAGAATTTTGTGAAAAATTTTTGTGAGAAATTTGAGAGTTACGTAGGCAGCATGAGAAATTGTCCAATGTTTAGGAGAAAGTTTAACGTATTATTTCTAAAAATGGAGGAGTTACGAACATGAGGTAAACGCGAACGATACTATTGCAGTATATTAGAATAGCGCAATAAAAAAAACCTTTCATTTTTCGCATCCAATGATAGTCCAATAAACGTTTAGTGCCGTATATTATAACACGTGATCATAGAACGCACACGTCGTTTAAGGAAAATACATTACATGTTTTTAATTTTGATGATAAGGGGAAATGAGAGAATTGCGAATTCCCAAGGGAAAAGTTAAAGTCGATGATTACTTATCAGTTATATAAGTCTTTATTCAAAGACTATTAATTAACTTTAAACTACAATAATTAATATTTATATATTACTAATATAAATCTATTCATCAATATGAACAATAAGAATCTTATTGGACCGTGAAAACATAACCAATAGGAATAGGGTATATAATTTTATATAATTTTATATAATTATATATAAAGCATTTTTTCCCGGGCTGTTATTACTCAAAATAATATGTCATATATAGCAACAGACATTTTTCTTTTAACTAATAATGCGTCATTTAGATTTACTTTCTCAAATCGAAGAACATTAATATGAAATTATAAAACGTTGAATAATTTCCTTGCCTCCTCTTGAATATACATCTTTCATTTTTTTTCTATCGTAATACTTGTTTTTTTGTTTAAATGAAACTTAAGGAAAAGTATCTATGTTTTAAAAGAGGTATTTTACAGCAACTCTTTTCCATATTTTTATGCTCCGATAACCGCGTACGACTCATATTAACCGTTTTCAAATATTTGCTTTTCCATTGTTTCTTCCACTATAAATATATAAACTGAATGCGATACTAATTTGCCTCTTGTGCTAACGAGGTCCCAGTCTTTATTTTTACACCCTAATTAAAATCACTGTTATTAATATTGTATATTATCGACCGTATACCGATTTATTAATATTTGAGAACATTATGGATATAAATTTAATTACACAAACACACACACACACACACACACACACACACACAATTTTCTGAAAAAAGAAAGAAGAAATTAAATAAATATTAAATGAAATAAGCACTTTATGACTTACATTATGACAATATTTCTAAAAAATAATGATTTTAATTAATACGTTTTTTTGTTGCGTGTTTTCAATGGAATATATTTAAAAATTCGTAAAGAATAGTTATTAAAAAAGAAAGAAAATATGTTATGTATTAAACAATATCCATATAAAAAATATTTTACAATTCACATCTTTAACTGCTGGGGTATAAAACACCCAGATGGCTATTCCCAAGTTAAAAAATTCCATTTATATGTCTTAATTTAGAAATAAGGCATCTCAGATTTAAACAAATATTATACTTTCTTTACGAATATCAGTTCTTACTAAACTATTTGTAATATTTTATTAAGATTGTAATGTATAATGTTCGACAGTAAACTGAAATTTAAATATCGTGTAAAAGATTCAGTTGGAAAGTTGGTCGATGGGATCTGGATAGCCGAGTCGTTAGAAGAGACAGAGGAGTTCGAAAGCACGGTACGGCGTGTCGTAAAAGTACTTAAAAGTTGCGCGTGTCCATGAGAATTCAATAAATTCCAGGAGTTCCGGAGAGAGGATCTTATCCGTGCGATTTGTCCGGGCGCTTTCGAATCGATCGGCCCGCGTACAGCGGTCGTTATTCGCGCGATATATCGAGCGTCGGGATGTATCGGTGTCGCATAAATCTCGCGACAAATTTACGGCGTGCCACTCGTACATATATGCGCGCATATAAATTCGTATAATGCATTCCTCGCGGGCACGGGGCGGGATCCGAGAGCACGGGTCTTAATAACGTGGTAGTATTTCACGAGTGGAATCGCCGCACTGCGCGATACACGCGTTTCGGTCTCGCGAGACAATCGACCGCCCCTCAGGGGAGGTAGACGACTTGAAACGTATTACATGAATGTATTTTTCATAGAACTACGGCCTGGCGTGGCGCGGCCTTGCCCAACCATGTCGCGATATTGCCAATAAATTTTCATTCCGCCGAGCATTTGCCGAGCTACATTCGCGGTCTCGGAGGAGAAGAAAAGAGCGGACACAGTGAGGAAAGTGTCTTTCATTCCGTACCATCCGGAATGCAGATTGCTTTAACCTCTCTCCGTCCCGGTTCTCTTGGAAAAGATTTTCTCTTTAGTTTTACTGGATCTTTTTTATTAAAATTTTCATCACTTTTTATTAAAATTCTCTAAAATTTCGAGATGTATTGGGAAAGTCAATTGTGTAACTTCTTTATCATCCTCTATTTATTCCTACTACCTTTCCGTATGACTCCATTGTGCATGGACGGCATAAACTGATCCCGTTTACGCGACAAATGTGCAAATATTTTTCCCACAAGCGAGAAATGTAGCATCGCGTATCGGATGTAGCGACTTGCCGCGTGCATCGGGAACGCAGACAGGTAAAAGATCGTTTGTCAAATTCTCCGCTCTGTAAAGTGGCAAAAGATAAAGTACGGCGTTCGATTGTAGCCATGGTGGAGAAGCGGGGAAAACTTGCTCTCGATGGAAAACGCGAGCCGACGAGAGAGAGAATCTCTCTCTCTCTCTCTCTCTCTCTCTCTCTTCTCGAGTCGAGGCGACATGGAGAGCTTCCGATTGTGTCACCCTCTCGCGAGGCTTCACAATCGAGTGC